AGAACTTTATATATATATATATATATATATATATATATATATATATATATATATATATATATATATATATATATATATATATATATATATATATATATTAAAAATGTTAAAATTGTAACCAGGATTAGACATATTATTAAGATTGTAGAAAGGTTGACGCTGGTTTGATAAAAACGTTAAAAACTACGTTTATTTAAAAAAGATGTTAAGACGTTTCGACCAGTAACTTAGGTCTTCGTCAGTTAAAAATTTAACAAGGTTCAAAACTGAACAATATATATAGGTTCAGAGTTAATTAGCAGATAAGTGTTTTATACACATCCGGTATTTCGATATGGTCGTTTCCTGCGTTATGATCCTTAAATTGAGGGAATATCAAGCCTCTAAGAACAGACGTTCGCGGTAGTTTTTTGTTTTGTTGACAATGGTGGCATTACTGTTTTGCACCAGCACCGAAAGCAATCCCTGTACCAAAGATCGTAGCAAGTATAGAATCAGGAATTCGAGACCTCCCTGAAAGTAACAAAGAATTCATACGCGCTACTGTCACAAACATCCTGAAATACAGCAAACCACCAACAACTTGCAACCTTTCACGCCAACAAAAGCTCGCTTTGAAAAACCTGCGCGAGGATAATAACATTACAATTATCCCTGCTGATAAAGGAAAAGCCATCGTCGTCATGGATAACGACGACTACACCAGTAAAATCAGCGACTTATTGAGTGATAAAGAAACATACTTAAAAATCACAGATAGACGAAGAAAACCAGTTTCCAAAGTAGAAAAAGATCTGATCAAGCTACTCACCAACATTAAGGAGACACCCTCAGAACACGATCCTGATAAATCTCAAATACACAAACACCTTTACCTCCATCTCCATTCCACCGATGGCACACCAGCAAGATTCTACGGGCTGCCTAAAATTCACAAACCTGCGGTACCACTTCGCCCCATTACAAGTTGCATTAATTTCCCAACATACAACCTCTCGAAACACTTGGTCAAAATATTATCCCCACTTGTCAGAGGGAAATATACAGTTAGGAACAGTTTTGCCTTTTCTCAACAAATTAGACATCGACAAATTGCAGACGATGAAGTCATGGTATCATTCGATGTTGTATCCTTGTTCACATCTATCCCCACCGAACTAGCCCTACAGGTGATCAAACAGAGGTTACAACAAGACATATCGTTGACACAAAGAACAGACATATCCATTACTAACATCACAAAATTATTAGAGTTCGTCCTTCAGAACAGTTTCTTCACATATAAGAATGAATATTATCAACAGATCTCAGGTTGTGCTATGGGGTCACCCATTAGCGCTACAATTGCTGACATAGTTATGGAACATGTGGAAGAAACTGCAATTTCTACAGCACCACATCCCCCGCGATGGTGGTTCAGATATGTCGACGATAGCCATTCCTGTCTGAAGAAAACCCAGGTGAACGAATTTCATAACCACCTCAATTCCATTAACTCATATTTACAATTCACCATCGAACTGGAAGAAAACCGACGCCTCCCATTCCTGGATACCGTGACTATCCGCTCTAACGGCAAAGTAGAAGTCGATATATACAGAAAACCTACTCACACAGACAAATACCTACACTACGACTCACACCATCCCATACAACACAAGCTGTCGGTCCTAAATACTCTCCTCGACAGAGCTGAGAAAATTCCCTCGTCCAACAGAGGAAAACGCAGAGAAAGAAGACATGTATTTAAAGTCTTGAGAGACAACGGTTACCCACTTAAGTTTATAAAGTCTTACGACATCAAGAGGAAACGCAGTCATACTGATAACACCAACGGCAATTTGCATACCACTGATGTCAACAACAACAGGACAAACCCCGCTGATTGTGTCGCTCCTAGCTTTGTAGTCTTACCGTATGTTAAAGGCGTTACAGAAAAGATCTCCCCAGTATTAAGGAGAAAAAATGTCAAAGTGTGCTACAAACCTACCAGTACCCTTTCCCACCAATTCCCCAAACCCAAAGACAAGTTACCACCCGAACAGACAAGCGGAGTCATTTACAAAATCTGTTGCTGCGATTGTGACTTTGCATATTACGGCCAAACAGACAGAGCATTAAAAACTAGAATAAAAGAACACGAACGAGCTGTTTCGCAATTTGATCAATATTCAAAAATCGCTAAGCACGCTGAACAATACGATCACCGAATTGACTTCAGTAATGCCACCATTGTCAACAAAACAAAAAACTACCGCGAACGTCTGTTCTTAGAGGCTTGGTATTCCCTCAAGGATCATAACGCAGGAAACGACCATATCGAAATACCGGATGTGTATAAAACACTTATCTGCTAATTAACTCTGAACCTATATATATATATATATATATATAAATATATATATATATATATATATATATATATATATATATATATATATATATATATATATATATATATATATATATATATATATTCGTATATTTCATTATTTTCTTCCATTATTATTAATCAACGGCCCCTTGAAAATCAGCTACAAGGAACTGTAGATAAACTTGCTGAAGGGCTACCGTTGTATATGTGTGTAAATAAGATTAAATAATAATAATTGCTGCTTCGTAGAGGCAGTACACTATTCTTGACTACGCGGTGTTTCTCCAGAGTCCACTCGACCCAGTCTTTCGCGCGATCTATGTATTGTCGAGATCTCGATCTTGTGTCTGTCTGTCTGTATGTAAAGATGTCGTAATCCGGGGGGAATAATTAAGCCTCGAGAACGTTTGTTAAATGAGGGGAGCGGTCAGAAACAAGATTTTGTATTGCGCACGCAATTCCATGTGCTCAAGAATCAAGATTTTACAATTGGTTTCATACAGGCTTTTTATACGGATGCAAGTTATCGAAAATTTTCGGAAAAATTCAGGTAAGTATGGCTCTATTTCTTTCTTCTGAAATACATCAAGGCGATGACCTTTTTAGTGTTCAATCTAGAGGCAAACAATGTGCTTTTATGAGTTTATCTGCAATTTTAACTGCCCAAAGTATCCCAGTGATCGATTGGTCGAAAACAACATTGAATAATGTCTTATTACAAGGAGACAAAATGTATTTGCAAGCTGTGGATAATGGCTTTGTTGTCTTAGAACCTGGTGTCGAATTCCTATCTGTAGATAACTTACCTAAAGTTGTCAGTGTTTCAAGTTGTACGAACATGTTTTCTTACGAGATATGCGATTCTCGGATTCTGTCATCGACACAAGTAATATATCATCTGTAGTGCATGCGAAAACAACTACAACACCTATGAATCCCTTTGATACACAAATTAACGTTGAACTACCCATGGTGGTAGGACAAAACAGTAAAAGTGTACCCATGGTGGTACAACAAAATCATAACAGTCCACCTATGATGGTAGGACAAAACAGTAACAGTCTACCCGTGGTGGTAAGACAAAATAATAACAGTCCACCTGTGATGGTAGGACAAAACAGTAACAGTCTACCCGTGGTGGTAAGACAAAATAATAACAGTCCACCTGTGATGGTAGGACAAAACAGTAACAGTCTACCCGTGGTGGTAAGACAAAATAATAACAGTCCACCTGTGATGGTAGGACAAAACAGTAACAGTCTACCCGTGGTGGTACGACAAAATAATAACAGTCCACCCATTGTGCTAGAGCCCGTTGAGGCACAAAATAACATTGAACTACCCATTGTGGTAGAGCCTGTTGAGGCAAAAAGTATCACTGATCTGCCCATTGTGGCAAGGGGTAACACTGATCTATCTATTGGTGTAGAGCACAATTCTGTGGTGCCTAATGAGGAAAACAATAAAAACCGAATTTGGTTTATAAATTATGGAAAAGAGCTTCAAGGTCTTGTTATAACCAACCGAGAAATTGAGTCACACTACTATGACATTCACACAGCACTTTTGAATGTGTTTTCAAATTATAGTTGTACTATTTTAATATTAGAAGGCTATATGATGGCATTGATGAAGCAAGCAGATTTTTTCTATTTATTTGACTCCCATGCCAGAGACTCTAATGGCATGCCTGATCCTAATGGCACTGCTGTTGTCATGAAATTTGCTAATATTCTAGAATTAGAACAATATTTGTATTCTGTTTCAGTGACATTGCATGCCAATTTATTTGAAATTGTACCTGTGCAATTAAATATATGTAAAGCTTCAGAGCAAAAACGTAAGTGCGTAAAGGATCAAGAGTATGTCCTGAAAAAGAGGCTTTTAATAGAAAATGAAGGTGATAAACAAGCTAGACTGAAGAAAGCTAGTGAGTATAAAAAAAGAAAGCAGTCAGAGGAAACTGACAGTGTGCGGCAAATAAGACTTCAAAAATTAAGTGAGTCTATTAAACAGAAACGTTCAGAGGAAACTGACAGTGAAAAACAAATTAGACTTCAAAAGGATTGTGAGTCTAAAAAAACAAAGCGGTCAGAGGAAACTAAGTAAATATCTCATGCTGGCAATTATTTTTTCTATAGTTTTGCAATTCTGACGGATGTGAATGGTGCCATGTTAACTGCTGTATGAAACCAAATGGTTGTTAAAGTCAAAATATAATATGGATATATTACATTGCATGAAAATGGATGGGAGCTTCTGGATTAACAGAAATGTATTTCTATTAAAACAAGAATGCTGATTTACAAGTTTGTATGGATACTGTATATTACATCTAATGCAATGGGATGGAATCTGAATTTTGCTGTACTTGTTTCCAATCTACCATATGGATGTCAGGAACATTGTATGCCAAGATATTACATACCTTTATATGTACAGTAACCTAACAAGTTATTGGACAATAATGATGGCCAACAATGGATACTACCTGTACATGCTAAATAAATACGAAATATTTATATATTGGACAAAAAACGAATAGTATAAGACTTGTTTACAAAATGGAAAATACAGTATGGACTATCATTACCTTGGAAAGAAAGAATATCAAAACTTGCAACAAACTGGTCATATCATGTTAAAAGACATATCGTGTATATTCCTCATTGTGTTCTTCTAGACGTTTTGACAAGTGAAGATTGTTTAAAACATTGGTACCAACAATCACGAGCATACATTTAAATATGGAAATCCGAACTACACTTTATAGTATATATAGTAATTATTGCATGTTGTAATTTCGATATTTCTTAAACAAAATAAATTCATACATACCCTGTGTATAAGGCAATTTAAGTAAATGAAGTTTATTGGTATAATCAACCCCCAGGACTTTGGTGTTGAGGCAGCACTTCCCTTGCGATAGTAACTTCTAGTATTTAAAAATATTTCGGCTGTGGTGTTGGGAAAATAAGTTTAAACTGCCAAATCTACCAATTTTTTTATGTGTGTGTTAAGATAGTGCAAGTGAGAGTATGCTATTTTACGCGCGTTAAAACACTGTTATTCAAACATAAATATTTCGCGTTCTAGATCGAATTTAAAAAATCCTTCCGAGGAAATTAAAGAAGAAAGCATGCTTTATCAGAATTTCTCAGTTTTGGAGTAAAAAGTTTAATATCGAATGTCACCGAGGGCGTAGAACAAGGTGTTATTCTCTCACTCCTTTTGTTTATACAGTACCGCTCGCGTATGTCTTAACATACGATACGCGTATGATACTCGTATGATACGAATACGGTACGCGTATGACACTCGTATGATACGAATACGGTACGAGTATGATACGCGTACCGTATATAACAGGTACGCGTATGACATGCGTATCGTATATAACAGATAGGCGTATGACACGCGTACCGTATATAACAGATACGCGTATGACACGCGTGTCGTATATCCTATACATTTGATACGCGTATACAGTGTATACAGTGTATACAAGGCGTATATTAGTGCAAGGTGTATAAAAAAATTTTGTTGGGATACATTTAAGCTAAAGTATGAATGATGAAGTAAATTGACCACTTGAGTAATAGACTAAATTTTGATCTCAACAAGTCTAGACAAAAATTTTATCACAGCTTGAAAGAGCATCACAAAATTAGCAATATTCCAAAGTTTCGTTGCGAAATGTTGTAAAATGCGGATAATATAGCCTTGCGAATTTTGCCGCTTTTCAGTCATTTTGTACTACAAACGGGAAATTGACAGCCCCAAAGGGTTTTGGGCCACTTGATGAATTTTGAAATCCGGACTGCCTGCTCCTCGGCCTGTTCACAGGACATTCTGACATGTGTAAGTCACGGGCCTCACGGCTAATCTCGGAAAAGTTTTGCCCTTCTTGTGAAGGATCATTATTTGTTCTTTCGCATAAAGCGGAATTCGCGTGCCAGGCATCTTCGTTTTCGTGGCGTCAGTGGCGATGGCCAGTATGATATACATGCGGATGATGTACGCACATTTATATGATCTAGCCAGATACGCGTATATGCCCAATATATACGCGTATATGCCCAATATAGACGCGTACATGCCCAACAGATATACGCGTATGCGTAATCAATGAGCTCACACGCATAGCATACATTGAACATTATAGTATTAATGTGGTATAAAAGGAGTTTAAATCGTTGCAGTTATCAAATAATTTATCAGTACCATTTAAACGTCGATTTGGTACGTACTTTGTTTTTATATCAGTTATAGATGACACAGCCATAAAATGCTGTCATATTGCCTCCCCTCCTCTAAAAAAACTATGCCCTATAAAGTAGTGCAAAAAGCTAACTGGTTTAAAGTTAATCGTTTGATGAGAGAAATTTAATTAACATGCATGCATGCATGTATAATTTGAAAAATGAAGTATTTTACAATGCCCAGTGCCTTCTTGAAAACCGACATGACTAATCTAAACAATTTCTATGATTATAACTTATAAGGTTATTAAATGACTGATTGCTATGTATAGGCCCTACTAAACATTTTAACACAACTTTCAAAAATAGTGCAAAGACTGTAAACTTTAAGCCGTTAAAGCAGAGCTTTTCAGTGATTGATTAGTGCTTTTTACATGCATGTTTTCGTATAATTGCAGTATGATCTTTATTATATATTTACGTATTACGTATTATTATATATTTACGTATTTTGATTCCAATGAATATCGTGTTAGATACTTTTATTATTATTCAAATCTATAAAACGACGCATTTTGCGTTTCAGTTTCATGCGTATAAGATTTATCACATATACTGTGTCTGCCCACTATACGCATTATAATGGTCGTGTATATCCACATTAATCGCACGCGTATCGTAATCATAACACACGCGTATGGTAATCTTAAGATATGCGCGTCGTAATTATGAGACACGCGTATCGTAATCTTACGATACGCGTATCATAATCACTGAGAGATACGCGTAACGTAGTCTTAAGATACGCGTATCCTACGCACTTCATACGCGTATCACTTGGATAGCTTACGCGTAGCATACGCTTATAATACGGGTATGCTACGCGTACCATACGCTTATGATACGCGTATGCTACGCGTATCATACGCAAAAAAGTGTTAAGACACACGCGAGCGGTACTGTATTTACCCTAGCTATATAACAATTTTTATTATTATATAAGGAGTCATCCCAACACAAGAGTCAGTACTACCTACCCCAATGTGGTGGTTTATAAAATTTTGAAGATTTGACGGGAAATAGCTTGTAATATGCTCCACATCTGTCCGACTCAATACAGCATTTTTGGTATCCATACGTCGAATCATTAGTTGAAAAATATAGCGGATTTTTATCCAAGGCACTTCCGGCCAGTGGCAAAGACGTAATTAGACTAGCGCCAAGGCCCTTTCCGTAACAGCATCGAATGGCTGGTCCCGTCTTTGGCAAGACATTGACAAAACACACTCGCTGACTTGTTTCTGTGGCTGATTCGTGGATAAATCGACCATCCAGCAAGGCCAGGTTATAAAACGATGGACAGTTCAAATCGGAAGAATTTCTGGTCAAGGCAACTTCCTTTTCGTACCACTGGTAACACTGCAAATCCGGTGTTACTTCCCCACTTTGGCCTACATCAAATATCCATCGTCCAGTGCCCAGGTTGCCTTGAACATCGTCAATTAACTCGGCATTTACGGTACCAGAACTGTACAAAAATAAACATTTTGCATATTATTGACAGTTAACTTGGCACTTACGGTACCAGAACTGTACAAAAATAAACATTTTGTATATTATTGACAGTTATATATACTATTGTTTCCAGTAAACTGCGAAACGACCGTTTTTACGAAGGACATATTTGTGTACCTCGTTATCACAATTCGTTACAAGCGACGTGTGAAAAACTGCAAGTTTCAGTTTGACAGTTCTGACAGTTAACTATGAGTTTCTAATTTTATTGTCCAATCAGATGCGTAGTTTTGAATTTTAAATCAAAACTACGCACCTGATTGGACAATAAAATTAGAAACCATTTAACTGTCAGAACTGTCAATGAAACTTGCAGTTTTTCACACGCCGCTTGTAACGAATTGTGATCATGAGGTACACAAATATGTCCTTCGTAAAAACGATCGTTTCGCAGTTTACTGCGAACAATAGTATACACAAGCATGCACGTATTTGTTTCTGCAGCATAAACATGCACGTAAAGCGGACTATAGTATATTAGAATAAACCTACTAGTAGGCTATCACATTTCGTGCATTCTGATTGGCTACGCTACTAGTAGGCTATTAGTGATAGCCTACTAATAGAAAATTCAAAATGGCGGAAAATTCGCGTTTTGCACTTTTGCCGAAGT